GCTTGAATTCTTTGATCCTCATAATACCGGTTGAAAGTTTCAAAATTTGTGATTTGTTTCTCTTTTTCTCGCTTTCAGGGGTGTTTTTGCACTTTGGCACCACCGCTGCTTCCGAGCCCTTCGCGCTCCTTCAACAGATGCACCGCGCAAGTCTAACTCTGTTATGGTGCCGATTCGGACTGACGAGAGCTGTTAGATGCTGAAGCGCCACGTAACAGCTTTTCACGGTGTTGTCAGCTGCCACTTCAGATACCAAAATTCACCTACCAAGTAGTGACTCTTGGAAACAGTTTCAGTCACCAAAGACCTCAAGTTGTGGCCCTAATTGTTTCCACTCTTTCGATTTCGCCAACTCGGACTCAATTCGTTATCGCTGACGTTCCTCTACTTTAAAGACAGCATTCGTAGTTGTGCCAGCACGGTGTGTCTTTTATAGCAAGCAAGAAAGACGACCGCGATTCAATCAGCACCACCGCCGCAACCTGCACCGGCTCCGCTACCGCCACCACCATCATCACCATCATCCTCATCGTCATCATCATTCCCACAATCGACACCGGATTAGAATCAACAGAATCAACAGCATCATGTCTACTCACTTTTATGATTTTGTTCATCGGCATCTAAACCTAGACTATCGCACATGTCAACTCGTCCTGCTGCTTTGATCACCATCGTCGTCTTCATCAACAACATCTTCGTAATCGGTATCGCTATCGCCATCGCCGTTGCCACCACCAACAGCGTCAACATCATAATTGTCATAGTTGAATCATCAAGCTCACCATCAACGGCAGCATCCCCATTGTCATGGTCATCACCACTGGCTTCAGAATCATGACTATCTCCACCTCGACACTATCGACATCATGTGCATTGCGGTCATCATGCCCCGCGTCTTCTCCATCGTCAGCACACATCCGGCATCGCCATGTTCCTTTTCATTTCATCCTTTCGGTTACGGTACGAGTCCACGTAATTAGTGGTTTGCCCTTGGCCCTCTCCTGCATCGCCTGCATCGGGAGGACCGAGATCGCGAGGATCGGGGCCGCGATCGCCGTGGAGAGGGCCGCAAGCGCAATCGATCCGAGGATGCCTTCTTGCCTTTGCCTAGGGCCTGGGATAACAGGTTGCATAAGGGCTCGATAAGGTTTCTACATGGTTTCTAACACGCCATCCAGTGTAAAGAAGCAGTGGTGGTGGTAGTAGTCGTAGTAGTAGTAGGAGGAGTAGTATAGGGAGTATACGGAGAAGTAGGAGTAGTAGTAGGAGTAGTAGTAGGAGGAGTAGTAGTAGTAGTAGTAGCAGCAGCAGGAGTAGTAGTAGTAGTAGTAGTAGTAGTAGTAGTGTAGTAGGAGTACGAGTAGTAGTAAGTAGTAAGTAGTAGTACTGGCAGTCGTGTGGTAGTTAGCAGTGTTGTTATTGCTATTATGCTGAGGTTTTATACGCATGCTTCTACTCTTTCATAGAGGAGACCAAACTCCGCCGACCAGCCTTTGGCAGGACCGGAGAAAGGAGAGCGAGCCTCGAAGGGGCCGAGAGGCTCCGGGTATGGAAGGGTTTTAAGGCTTTTAGGGTTGAGGGCTTTTAGGGTGTTAGGGTTTCGGGCGAGCTCAGTTCAAGCCTGTGGAAAAAGGGTTTTAGGGTTGAGGTTTGGGGGCAAAACGGCTTCAGGGGTTGGAGTTGAGTGTTCAGAGCAGTATGAGCTTGGGACGGGGATGTTTTCTGTTAGTGTCCCGTCATGAGCAGCAGATTTCCATGGCAAAGTTTCGATGCATGTCCGGGGAATTGCCACTCTCCACTGCGCGTTCGGGTATACAACTGTCGGATTGACAAATTGAGCGCTTCAGAGGAGAGTAAGCGCAGACATGTCGAGATGGGCACTGAGTAACAGAATGTGAAAAGCAGGCGAAGTAGATATTGAGACTGCTGCACAAGAACGGCTAGAACCACTTCAAGAAGAACAATCCGCAAGGGTGGGCAATCAGCAATGGAGTTATCGCAGCTTTGCCGCCGTCGTCACGGTACCGTAGCCAGTATAGGAGGCTCAGGCTAGTACGATTTCAACGTTGGCTTCGGTCGTTTTGCGCTTGTTGAGGGAAACCTGGGCAGGACCGCGATGACCGAGGCCGCGATCGGCGCGGAGATCGGAGGGGCCGGGACCGGTCGGAGGACTAGAGCGAGAGGGAGACTGTATTCCTGGACCTTTGTGCAGAGCGGCTGCAGTTGAAATGTTTGGATCGGTTTAGGTGTGTTTACTACGTTATCATCACAGTTGCGAGTATAACTACATTGTCTTCCTCGTCTTCCTTATGCTTGTCCTTGTCGTTTCAACGGTCGTTGCTGGTTGCCGCTGGGTGTTGGTGCAGCTGCTGGTGCCTTTATATAGTGGTTGGGGTGTGCTGCTGCTCTTGTCTTAACCTAGAGCTTTTATGGCTTTTTGAAAGCCCCTGTGCCGACCATTGTCTCTGCAGGACCGTCGCCGGGACGACCGCGGCCGCGATCGTCGTGGCGATCGTCGGGGTCGGGATCGTTCCGAGGCCACCCTTTGTGCGAAACGTCCGACGCCCCAACTCGACACATCAATGCCTACGCCGTCACGACGTTGAACATCCTTGAACCCATTTTGACCCTAAACCTGTTTAGACCTTGCGGCCGACAGGACAGGCGACGTGACGACCGAGGCCGCGACAGGCGCGGAGACCACCGCGGCCGAGATCGATCGGAGGATGCCGGGGAAGGTTTAGGCTTTCGGTTTACAGTTCTAGTGCGTGGTCTAGTACTGTCACTTTCTTGTTGAGATGTGTGGAGTATCTAGGTGTCAAAGGTCTCCTCCGCTCTTGCCTAGTTTATCCTGGCATGCTTTTGGCACTGCCGCCAGCATGATCCTTGCCATCCTTGGCCCACTAATTATTGCAGCCGCATCTTCTCGAAGGGTCTTCTTGGGATTTCCGCAGGTAGGACCTTTCGTATACCCCCAATCCTGAACCCTAAGCCCTCAATCCATGCTAGTTAAACCCAAAAACCTCAAGTCTCACGCTCTTTGGTCGGCTTGTTGCGTCAGGGTCACACTCTCAGATAATATAGGGGCCATTACGGCAGTTCCTTATCATAGTATAGTATACGATACCCCAAAACCCTGTCGAAACTATTGACGCCTCTACATGAAAGCAAAGGCCCGACTTGGACTTGGAGGCATATTTGCGTACTCGCGCGAGACAATGCCAAAAGGAAATCCCAAGCTGCCTTTCAACCCTGGCTCGGAAAACTAAAACCCTAATCCCGGTTGTATTTTCGTTATTTTATCTATCTATCGACAAGCCAGTGACTGATCTCCCGGACCCGCCTGTCAGAAAATACTCGATTTTTTATTGCTACTGGTGAGTGAGACTTGCTGCATTCCCCCGCAATGCCTCTAGATTTCAAGACTTGGGGGCTGTACGCATGTAGTGTGTTTGGGATGGTTGTGCAGAGCGCAGCTCGCGAATTCCAAAGCCAAGAAGACCGCAAGGAGACTCTGTGTGGTAAGAAGGCCCTGCAAGAAGCCTGGATTTACACCATCAAGAGTAGAATCCGAAGACGCAAACAGTGGCCCTTGACGAGGACCGGCGAAAGGCAGACAGCCCGGACAAGCGGAAGGGCCGAGAGGACCGAGTTTGGACCTGATAAAGCGAACAAGCCCAATCCAAGCGGTCGGACAAGGGTTTAGGGCCTTTAGGGTTTGGGGTTTAGGACCTAGGAGTAGTAGCTAGTAGTGGCAACGAACTGGCTGATAAAGCACTTGCAATCCAAGGAATGACTGTCATCAAGCCTGTCATCACGCAAACTTAGATCCAGTACAGAATAGTGTGTGGTCGGTACCGACAGGGAAGGTGAGCAATCCTGTCGCGGGACTTCTTTACTGTTTATTGCTGCGAACTCTGCCAGACCTTCCTGTTGCAGTTGCCATTTGCCAGCTAGCCGCTAGCCCATCTTCTGAACCCCTGATCGGACTAACCGATTAACCGACGTGGCTCGACCACCATCATCAAAACTTTGGTCACAGAAGCAGCCATGACATCGGACCCTGAGAGGAGAAAGACGATAGTGAGCCGCGTGGCCGTCAGCGTGAGCCGTCCGAGGACCTCGCTATGAAGACGTGAGCATCGCATGTTTCCCCTCGAGGAACAGATCACATCAGAAACAGTAGCAGTAGTAAGTAATGGGTCACAGTGATGGGTCCAGCACAGTTCGAACGGTTGTAGTCCGTGTTGGAACGCATGTTTCGCTGCTGCGTGCCCGTGGCTCTGGACGGTTCCTGACACATAGGACTTGTCTTCCCACAGCCCGGGCCGGGGCTATGAAGTGCACCAGACTTGCTTGGCGAACACACTTATTTACGCCCATGCCACTTCGCACAGGACGAGGAAGATGAGCGCCATGTCAGCAAAGATGGCCTACTAGGGCTTCTGCCAACAAGTCTCTTCAAGGCTTCGGTGGCCCCACGTGAGTCCTAGATGCTCAACATGCGCAGTACATCGAAGCCGGCGCTTTCTTGTTTCCGCAGGAAAACTCGAAGTGCACGTTAGCTACAACATCCAACCGGCTCACCAAGCCGCAAGATCGCTTGCAAGCTTGGAGAATGTTCTGAGGCGACAAGACAAGAAACGTCGCCAGGAAGAGGAGGTGCCTCCGTGTTCTTTGAAACGGGTTCCCTGCGGGCTTGAAACGAAGTGCAGTTCTTGCAATAAGGTTCCTGCAGCCTGGGTGTGTTTTGTTGTTTAGCTGCCATGCCTGGCAAGTACGGTTTGCTGCATTCCGGTCGGCTGCCTGAGGATCTACTGAATTATGGCCATAGCCCACCAAGGTTGTACAAGGAGTGTAAGACTTTCATTGCTGAGGCGTGCTCAGGCTTGGGGAAACCGACAATCTCTGAGGCCTTACATCCGGCTGCAGCCAGTTTTGTGCACAGCAAGCAGTTAGAAGAGCGAAGTGGCAACTGGGCCTCGATTGTCGTGAGCATGAAGGTTTGTCTCGCAGCTGCTCTTGCTGCCGCCTTCACCGCGACAGCGATGTCACAGGACTCTCCGGCTGAGCTCCTTCGCGAGCTGCAGGCCCAAAAAGCGTTGCTGGAGGAGCAGCGAAAGGAGCTGAAGCAGATGACCGAAACCCAGGAGAGTATGGCTGGCGCCATGGATTCGGCGTGGCTGGTCCTTTGTGGAGCGTTGGTTATGTTCATGCATGCAGGGTTTGCAATGTTGGAAACCGGCTGCTGCCGCGCAAAGAATGCCTCGAACGTTTTGATGAAAAATTTAGTCAATGTGACTAGGTGTCACTTTGGGAAGCTTTTTTAGTTTCCCTTATGGTTCCTATAGACAGAGGTACCTATTCATAAATATTTTTGGGTGGGCCCGGAACTACAACCACCCAGGTGAGCGTTGGCACATTGGGTTGGTGGATGTTTGGCTGGGCCCTTGCCTATGGCTCTCAAGCCGGATCTTTCATTGGCACGGATGGCTTCTTCGGCCTGGGTTTCTACACGAAAGATACATC